GGACCAAAAACCCATCCAGGGACTGAATCACAGTGAAAGTGACTCAGCGGGAGTCATCACCAACTTTCAGACGGGTTAGCTTGCTAAGTTTGGCCAGAGGACAGTAGTGAGAGACGGGGACAGATCGGGCCATTGTATCATCTGTATGGCTCAAGATTATGTGGGGTAGCTTTCAGTTCAGTGAGTTGCAGTCTGTAGGACTGTAATTTGTTGTTTTTGTGCTGGGAGGGTGCGGCTGCGGCTGAAAGGACGCCGTGGAGGGAGGGGGCTGATGATGCGTCATCTCCAGACAGACAGAAGTGAGTGGGTGGGTTTTTCACAGGGTACTCAAAGGGCAACTCTTTCTTTGTTTCTTTCTTTAACATCATTAAACTTTACAGATCTTTCAATCTGATCGAGTCTTCCTGGGCTTTCTTTGGACATTATTTATGTCTTTCTCGTTACACTGGGCTTGCTTACGTAGGAGCTGAGGAATGTACCAATCTGTTTTTTTTTCTTAAAGAAATAAGTGTCTGGGAATCGCAATAATCCACTTATTTTTTAGTCTGTGGATTTTACATCTCTCTCGTGTGGCTTTATTCCCTCACTTTAATATGATATATTTATTATATATAATAAATACACTGTTTGTTCCCTCTCATTTGTCCATCACTTGAAGTGCTGATGATAAGAGCTTGAAGACAAGGAGTCTCCCTCCTGTCTCTTTGTGCTGTTCGTGTCTTTCTTCTGAAGTCAGCGGTGGGTGGGAAAATTATAAGCTTCCTGGCTCTTGGAACGTACGGGGAAGCTGGCATTCAAAATTAAATTAGGTTTTGAAAGCATAACAGCAAAGCACAAGGTCAACTTCAAATGCTTTCTTAGCTCCACTCCAACCACATTTTGGAAAGATAGATCAAAAATATGAAATGGCAGTGTGGTGTGTCTACATGATCTGAAGTGAACAAAGTTATCTATTAAAAACTTTATGTGGATCGATTTGGCATGGATTAGCAGTGAGTAATGTTGAAATCATGGACTGTTCTCTACTTCTTCAGTTGTTTTCTTAACATGTGGAAAATATTGTTCATGATAGAGTAGTTGCTTCAGATGCACATGTTCCACATCCCGCCACTGACACAGCCAGCCCTGTTCATGCCTCACATTCATCTAGACCACCAAATAACTCTTAAGCACGTTTGATTTTTAATAACACACCACCTCTCGGTTCAGGAATGTGTTAGATCTGTAAAGACAAAGGTGTGGTGGAAAACAGAGGGCGTCTGTCTCCGAGAGGCTAAGCTAGCTGACAGACAGAGTCGCTGAGCGATTTTGGGTCATAAATTCTGCCAATGAACGCCGAGGTGATGATTTAAAGGGAAAGTCCGCCGGAGAGTAAAACCCTTTGTTATGATCTCAGCTTTTAAACGTTGTGCCCATTTCAGCTTGTAATGTGGTGCAGTCGCTCCACCGCAGCAGCATTCTGAGGAGGCGATACACCCTTGACTTAATAGCACGCTCACACAAACAAACACACCCACTTACAAACAAAATCTGCAGGAAACATTAGTCTGTGCATGGCTTGAACTTAAAGGAGGAAGATGTGAAGCGGAGGTTTGTGCGTCAGGATAATCAAGGCACGAAGTGCAGGTGTAATACCACCTGCCGTCGGAGCTTTAACTTGATACGTGACTCTTGTGACCCTGGAAACCTTCCTCACCCCTGAATCCGAGCAGAAAGTAGCGCTCATGTTTTCACTTCTGTCATATCATGAATAAACATGAATAAACACGAATAAACACGTCACCCAGTGCCAATGGAAGCCAGGCATGCGCATGCATCACACTGACTCCACTGTTTTAGAGATGATGTTATATGCTTAAGGCCATGAGCTATTCAAAACCTCCATAGTTCCTCCTTCCTGAACACAGACTCAGTCATCCAGAGAATGCTGTTGCAGAATGCACTTTGTGCTGAGCCCTCTTTGCTCCCGTATACAGTCTTCATGTTCCGATAGATTTGACATCATATACCTAAATGGTCCACTGAGTGATAAAGCCTCCTCCTGCAGAGTTGTTTTTTTTTTTTTAACACTTGGCTGGTTGTTATGGAGGCATTTTTGTTTACCATGGAAAGGATCCCACGATCATCTACCAGACTTCAATAAAGTCCTGAAACAGTTGCATCTTGGCTGCTTGTGTCGTCTTGCCACCCAGCAGACATCATGGCAGTATCTCTGGGCAGTTATAGCCAGTTACGAACACCTAAAAAACAAATTTATATGTTTATTTCTGCTGTTAAGTTAGGCATTTTAACACTATAACATGGGAGCTCAGGGGCTGACCACGTTTTAAAGCCTGTCTGAAATGGCCTCTTTGAGGATCTTCAGATTTTTGCTCTTTCACTCTGGCTTAATTTGAAATTTCCAGATGTTGCAGGTTGTTTTTTTTTTTTCTGTTAACTCAGACATTTCTGTTTAAAGCGCCATGAAATGCTTTTTGTAAATAAATATATGGGTTTTTTTCTATGACATTACACAACAAAACGCTCACAGCAGCATGTAACACATAGAGAAGAACATCTTAACAGTTGTCAGGAAGCCCAAAAAGGAAGGAATAAGGTCATCTGCAATCTCACAGCTGATGATATTTCCTACATCTATAGTCTCTCTTGCTGTTTAGGTGTGTCCGGATTTGATTTTAAAATGAAATTCTCTTCTTTTTTTTAAACTACAGTTTAATTAGAGCTGCAGGCTCACTTTGCTCTTCGTCAGGACTATATTTTACAACCTTTCAAGGGTGGAGTTTGTTCCTTTAAACAGCCAGAAGACACAAACAACAGAGTTTTCCCTCCAAAAACTGGACTATCTGTCATAACAAATCAACGTAGAATTGTCATCTCTGTATGCTGTGAATGACCCTTTTTTGGCGTTTTTGACTGTTTTTCTGTTTAAAATAGATAAACCAGTGTGTTTCACAACTCAGTGTAAAAATAGACCGGTCACAGAAACAACAGATGTGATATATATAATCATGCACCAAGCAGATGATGTGTGTTATCCACAGAGTATTGTTTGTGTAATCAGCATTGTTGCATGTAGCATGGCGCAGCGTCGGGCTAAAAACATCAAGAGGTTTTATTCACAGGAGTCCAAGAAATTCAACTCCAGGTATGAAAAATGTTCTCTCTTCTCTTTTTTGAGGAGCTGGATCATGTCTCATTCAGACACATTCCCAGCTCAAGTCCAGACTGTCTACAGTTAGTTGTTTCCACAGCCTCTGTGCGTTTAGATTGTGTAATCTAATGTAAGATTCGGGGAAAAAAGTCCTCTGGCTCTTTTTCTGTGTCTGCAATCTCAATTTTCAAGGCCCTCATTTTCCCAGTTTCCTCTCATTCGAAATCCAGTTCTGAGATGAAATGTGAACCTTGGAAACTGGAGCTCTTATGTCAGAGTTAAGTAGTCTTCAGTCTGTGCCTGAGCCTTTCCACCTGATTCTGCATGTTGCTGCCTGCACCCAGTCCTAGTGGTTAAAGTCCTCTGTCACAAAGTGTTATAGGCAGACTTCCTCTGAAGTGTCCATGTTGCTTCAGAGTGAAAATATTTTATGCCACTTGTTGGGTGTTTCATTGAAGTTCTTTCATTTTTCTGCCAGACTTTCACCATATGAGGATGTCCCTGCTGTGCTTAAAGTGATCTAGTCCCCTAATTACCCCACAGCCCAGACTCCTCGGCAGTCCGCAACTAATTACTTCCACGTGTGCGAACCTGGCTCAGCAACAGTGAGAGGCCTCCTCTCCTCTCCTCTTCAAAGTTAATGTTGTAGCGATACAGGAGGGGTAAGCTCTATAGTGAATGTTTGTTTGGTGAAAAATGGATTTGAAGTTTTGAGTGATTAAGCAGAACTCGTGTAGAAGAGATGGTGGACTCTATATTTAGGCAGAAGTCTGAAGCGGTGGTGAGGAGGAGGAAGACAACAGTGAGTGCATTTAACAAAGAGGCTGTAATTCAACTTCAAGTGACACGAAAAGAGACAAAGGAGGAAAACACGGCAGGAAAATAACCGAGGGGAAACCATTCTGACAAAGGGAGTTGGATTAATAGGAGAAAAGTTTTGGATCTTGGTAATCAAAGGGAGGGTGTGAGGAAATGAGAACAATGGAGCTGAAAAATGAAACAAAAACATTGTGTGAACACCACAAGTGAGCACCCTGTCATTTGAAGTCTAGTTTCTTTCTTGCTTGTCAGAAAATAACAGTTGCTTTCATCCAGTCAAATTTTTTTGTTTGTTTTCTTGACTAATTGGTTGGTTTATAACCTAAAAAAGGGCCTTAAATGCAGTCGGATTCTGTTGTTCAAACAGACCTCTAGCTTTTTTAAATTAATGAATTGGTCAACATTTTGGAAAGCACACACATTCCTTTGGCAGAGACTTTGATGACAGCTAATAATACTCAGATTTTTCTCTTACATAAAAGACACATTAAAGACACAATCACAGCATCATTAAAGCTCTTAACCTGACGAGTAGTGTCCACAGCTGCTTTTTAACCACAAACCTCTTGGAGTTTCCACAGGTTGCTGCCAGCTGCCTGATTTACTATCAAAATGTGTGAATCTATTAACCGACTGACTCCTTTTTTAAGCTCAGACACAGTATTTCTCTTACTGAAAAAAATTTCTTATGTAATACAAGATGGAAAGCTTAGACTGTCTTAAAGATGAACATCTTTATGCGGCACTGTGAAAAAAAAATGGTGCACTTTATCAAACCGCTGAGCCCTGCCTTGAAGAAACACGCCTTTATTTTTTTTAACTCATTGTTAGATTACTGTGTGAGCATCATCATTCAGATGTTTCGCTCTAACAGTCACATTGTTATGCACCCTATATACACCTTTTCTGGATGTGTTTAGTTATAATGTGTCATTTTCCCGAAGCATCTGTTTCATGTCAATCATACTGCCATGACATCATCACGCAGCTGCGGCTGCACACCTGTGATGTGAATCCCCTATTCCATCACATGAGATGATGCTGATGACTGCTGACGTACGTTTGACTACAGTGAACTTATTATCATGTTGCAAGAAACCAGTTTGAGATGTTTTTAACTTTGTGGCATGGGGCGTTATCCTGCCTACGCTGTTGACACAGGACAGGATGGTTCCATGTTTTCATGTTGAGACCAGGCAACATCTGCTGCAGTGTCTCGTGACACCTTGTGCGTTCAGAGATGCTCCTCTGCATACCTTGATTGTAACAAGTGGCTGCTAACCTTACTGCTGCCTTCCTATCGACTTGAAGCAGTCATTCTGCCTTGACCTCTTACATCAACAAGGCATTTTCTGCCACAAACTGGATATTTTCTTTTTTTGGCTTATTGTCTGTAAACACTAGAGATGACTGTGGAGTAAAATTTCAGCAGGTCAGCAGTTTCTAAAGCACTCAGCCCGTCCGGCACCAAAAACCGCGGCAGTTTCAAACGATCTTTCTTTTCCTATTTTGATGCACAGTTTGAACAAAATGTATTGATTTGGCTCCATGTGATTGGCTGATAAGATTAAACAAGTTGCACTAATGAGCAGTCGAACTGCTGTGCCTAATGAAGTGGCCAGTGAGTATTTTTTGCTGTGTGATGTAATTGCAGCACGTTTAATAATAACTGTCTTGATTTGCTCTTAAGTATACGTGTGGCTTATGATGTTAATTCATAATTGCAGTGCATGTGTTTGGAAGTCTTACTGACGCTCAGGTATCACAAACATTTGGGATGTTACAAAGACCTAACATGGATCGAAGCACAATAACGAGATGGCCTTCATGACTAAGCTTTCACTCCCACTTCACTAGCTTGTTTGGGTTTTATCTTTCTCTGTGGATTCATCACTGCTTGCTGTTTTCTTACAGTCCTGCTCTCTCTCTCTCTCTCTCTCTTATCTCTTTCCTGCGATTGTTCTTATTGTGGGAATTTCAACAACTTTGCACTTAAATAAACACAGCGGGGAACCTAATAAACCTGCAGTGAGTACTGTATATGCCTTTAAGGCCAGCCGCTTTCCCACGAACTTCAAGATCTTTCCCATATGCCACAGTGAAGCCGTTATACAGATCAATGACTTTACCTGCTTTCTTGCTCAGGCCGACTGGCTTCAGGGACTCATTCATTTTTTTTATAGTGGCACGGTTCAAAGTGAAGATTTTACGCTGCCCTGCTTATGCTGCAAACCCGTTGGTCTGTCTTCCATACTTATGCTGTACATTACTGAATCATAAGGCTGTTCACATCACTCTATGAAAGATCATATAAAAGTCTGCCTCTGACTCAGGGGATCCTAAATCAGCACTTTCAGTCTGACAAAACTCATGAATACATATTGATGGATTTCAAAGTATGAAATACTTGTATTTTAGTGAATCAATGAATTCATGCTTTATCAACTTATATTTCTAAGACTGCGCCTGTTGCCTTTTCCTCTCTGCAGTTGTGTGTCCCTTGACGTGTTTGAATGGAGGAGTATGCAGCTCGAGGAAGCACTGCCTGTGCCCTCCCGGCTTCACCGGTCGACTCTGCCAGTTTCCTCTCCAGCAAGCCCAGGCAGCGCGAGGCAACGAGCAGCCTGTGTACCCCGTAGCTTTAAAGCCAGACGGCCAGAAATTTGTGGAGTCAAGCATAAGCCGCAGCCAGTTTACACACACGTCGTCAATGTCAATCTTCAACGTCCCCTTATCACAGCCGGGGCATCACTCCTCAGAAGGTACCTATCGTCTGCCTCAGCACTTCTCACATTGTAATATCTCTTCTTCCCTTTCCTTTCATATCTGATTTTTCTCTTCCAGTGCAGTTTAATGTACGTGTTCACCACACGCCAGACACCTCCGTAATCATTCACTCACTCGACTCAATGGATATCAAACCTCCTCACAAAACGGGGACACGCCAGGTCCTGGTGAGGCGCAAACCAAAGGGGCGCTGCTTTCAAGAGACCACGCCCAAACAAGCCGTGAGTTCAGTTGTAAGAAGTTTTGAACTTGAAATATAGATGCGTTCCTTGTTTTCCCATTGTTAATATTTCTCAATATTGGTCTTTTAGTGCAACAGCACCCCGCTTCCTGTTCTGACCAATCAGGAGGATTGCTGTGGGAGTGTGGGGAATTCATGGGGACAAAACAAATGTTATCAGTGCCCCAAATTACCAAGTGAGTACCTCAAGAAATGTCCTTTTTTACCAGCTTTGTAAATGTCACACATCTAGGGTTTATATCTTTCATCTTTATCTACAGTATTAAGATTTTTTTTTTAAAAATCAGCATCTTGTGTGTTCCCGGGAATAAAATTACTGTTTATTGAGCCAAAAATGTGAAGCATTCCCACCAATTTATACCTTCCACCTTCTGAAATTATGGCCCTGGATTAAAACAATCACTTTGTACCTCTATTAAAAAAACGAGTGTCTGAACGTCTACATGAAAGTTAGCGGTAAGGTGGGGGAAACGGAAGAAATTATGAGAATTACACACAGACAGTGAGACAGAAAAAGAGAATGTGGAAAATAACCCTCTAGTTAAGCATGTTCCTATGGGCCTGCCCAGTTCAGCGCTGTCATCACGCTGCAGAAGATCGAATTTCATGAAAATCTTGGCTACTCGTGCTTTTTCCACTCCGCTATTATTCCCTCTCTCAGTTCTGGCTTCAGACAATGTGGCTTTTGACAAAACCTGATCCTGGTTAGTCTTTTAAAAGCTGTTTTTGCAAAAAGTGCTATCTGTTATGTTACACCTGGTTGTATTTTTAATCTTTTTTTTTCTTTTTCAATGAGATGATAAAGGTAAGCTGCGGTGTTGCCTCTGTTTCCATTGTGATTTCACAATGTGCAGTGTTTCCACGGCTCTGTCATAAAACTGCTTTGCATGTTTTTACTCCCTGATGGAAAGTTGAACAGTAAGAAGGAGGAGGAGAATACCGTGGTTTATTATTTCAGGTCTCATGAAAGAAAATTTAAGGCAGTTCTCTTGCAAGCTACCACCCCAAGACTTCAAACAACTATGATTAGGAAAGAAAACAAAAAGAAAGGGAAGGTTTGTCCAGACCTAAAAATGGAACTTAAACTAAAAAGTATTAAAGAAACATTGATCTGTATAACCACACAATTAGACAAATACATAAAAAATGAGAAGTAGCAATTACTGAGACATAAACGTACAGTTTTGTGCAGATGAAAACTTTTTTTGTCCCTTCAACCTGAACCAATCGCAGCAGATGGTTTCTTCCTGTTAAAAGGGAGTTTTTCCTTTCCACTGTCATCAAGTGCTTGCTCTTGATGACAGTTGCTCAAGTTTGGGTATTTGTCTGTATTATTGTAGGCTCCCTTCCTTACAACATAAAACTCCTTGATGCAACTGTTGTTGACATTTATCACTATATAAATTAAACTGAATTGAACTGAATTGCAGGCAATAGTTTTTAACCATCCCCTTCAGTCTGGAGTCTATCTCAGCTGTCATTGGGTGAGAGCTGTGGTACCCTCCAGATAGGTGGTCCGTCAAAAGGGGTTAACACAAAAAGACAGACACTCATTCATGCACTCATTCACGCCTATGGGTGATTTAGAAACACCACTTCCACAGTCCAAACTCATGTTTCTCGACTGCCGTGTCTTTGGACTGTGGGAGACCTGCAGAGAGCCTCCACAGACACTGGGAGACAGCCCTGTCACTTAGCTCGCAGTAAAAAGGTGCTTTTCCCCAATTACTGATGTTTAAACTAGGACTTCTGTGTTTTTTCCTATCAAGAATTCAACTCCCACACCTCTACAATAATTACAAAACTATTCTCACTTTTCTCATGCTTTGCTTGAAGGCTTTGATTGTGTGACAGTTGTTCAAAAAGTCATGGAAGCGGTTTTGTTCAGAAAAGAGTTTGGGAGGGACGTGAAAAAGTGTTGCATGAACAGATAACCGGGGCCACTACATTCAAAAGAAAGCTCTCATTTCCACCTGCAGTAAGCTATAGGTAGTGTAGGAACTTCCTCCTGTTCTACCTGCTTGTGTGGAAAGCTGGAGGTGTGTAGAACAGCAGCCAGATTACTGGGCAGAACAGAACAGGCATTACAAAGGATACAGTATTGATTGTCAGACACAGCATGTAAGGAGAGGCAGGGGTGGAGCTGGGTTGCAAAACAGTTTGCAGATCTGTAGCAACAGTAGGGAGACACTAACGCCTTATATAAGATTTACTGATGAGATTTAGACGAGAATACCTGAGGTACAGGTGATGTGGGAGTTTCACAGCTGCTTGATTAGTTGTAAAGGGCTGTTGTAGTATTTGAAGTATAAAAAATTGCAACTGCGGTGCATTTACCTGGTGGGTGCCTAAACATTTTGTATAATTTGATGTCAAACTCTCTGCTTTTCATATACCTTTACCTGTGTGCTCTGCTGTGTCTTTCCTCAGATGCATCAGTCAAACAGAACATTGTGGAAGACTATGGCTCTACTTGTCCCCAAGGCTATAAAAGATTCAACAGCACTCACTGTAAAGGTAAACTAGAGCCGTGAAAAGTATTTTCCTCCTCCCTGAATTCTTATTTTAAACAATAAGTGTTAATATTAGAGATGGACCGATCCGATATTACGTATCGGTATCGGTCCGATACTGACGTAAATTACTGGATCGGATATCGGAGAGAAATAAAAAATGTAATCCGATCCATTAAATATCAAAAAAGCACCTCACAAAACTTGCGACACGGTGTAACTCACCTCATAACCGTAGCACTTCGGAGCAGTGTGCATCATGTGATAGAGCGGCTGTGTGTATTTGTAGCCTCGCTACCAAACCAGCATTTCATCTCCGAGGAAGTGATCCCAGAGAGAAGTAAAGCAAGTGTTTAAGTTCATCTCTGAATGTTTGTAAAGCATTCCCACGTTAAGCTTAACAACCAATATATGGAGCGAGTGCCTCTTCTTGCTGCTACTTCAATCATGAAACTGATTAATGATCAGCTGATCGGCTTTTCTGTCGCGAGTCTGTCTCTCTTCTTTATTTTTGGCCCACTTTGTACCAGAAAGAGGAAACCAGCAGCACGTTTAAGCTTGATAACAGTACCAGAATAGGAAGGATGGAGTAGGTTTAAGTTTATTAGACTGATCAGTATTGCTGAATTATGAAATATTTTGGGTGCAGTGTATTTTTTACATACCGGTATAGTATTT